GTAAGTAATCATAAGTCATTTGACATATATATATATATATATATATATATATATATATAAATATATAAGCTATATATATAGATACATGTATATATTTATTGATTGTGTATGGTTTTGAGAGTCCTGGTTACAAGTCATCTGAGATGAGTCTTATATAGTTTTTTTTATATCATGACCTGCTTTTTTGCTTTTGCAATCTGTGCAATTAGTCTCATAAACACTTAGCCTTGGGGAGTTGCTGGGTGTTAGTAGCCACAGGACCTTCATTTCTCCTTTAAGAGCTTTTTTGCCGTGATAGATAGGGAAGAATGCGTTATTGTTCCTCAGTGTCCTCATACCTTATACTGTCCATTATACCTCAAAACTCTCCAGCACAGTGTGTTCTCTTTGAATTATATTCATTCTGTGTCAGCGGGCTCTTTTGAGATGGAATGGGAGTATACCTGCCAAAGCAAACTCTTTCTCAGTGATTTACTGGATTGTGTGTCTTTTGTAGCCTTAATGAAGGGACTGGTGGTATGCGGATGGTACCAGTCTCTTTCACATTGAAGGCCTTTGACCAACTCAAAAAACAGGGTTTTTCCTAAATGCAGGACTTAAATCTTCTCTAATGCTGCCTGTCATTTCATAAGAAAAACAACAGCCCCTGCACATTATTTTGCACAGCATGAATGAATCATCCAAAAACCCTTAGATTATCACTACAGACTCAATTAGTTTAGGCTGTGTGTCAGATAGTAAAGTTGCGTTTTTTGTATCAAAGCATCTGTAAGAAGGCGATCACTTGAAAACATTCATTTGTGATTACATTGCATTGTTAAAATGTTAACTGTACAGTTACGAGAGCAGGTGAAAGCTCCTTAGACCGGCGCAAGGGCCGGTTGGACGAAGAAAAGAGTGGGGGTGGAGTTGGGTCGGGGAGAGCTTGTTGATCCCAGTGTGTAGAAACATCTGTGGAAGTGCTTTGGTTTCATCAGCCAAGGCTGAGATCTGTCAGACCTGGAGCACCTAGTCATATACTCTGGTATGTACTGTTGCCCCCACCCAACTCCTCGTCGTTCCCCAACAACCCGTCTAAACTCAGCGTTCCCACAGGCGAGACGCACAAAAGCATGTTATAGTAAAAGTGAGTCATGTGTCTCATGCTGTATAGCACTTCATTTGAATGATTCATCATTTCTTTCTTCTATTCTGTTGTTATCCCTCTCTCCCCCCTTGTACCTTCCTCAGGTGGTCAAGGACCTTTGGAGTTTTGTACAAACACTGAAGATTGAGAAGAAGTAACAAACCTTGTACTTGGAAGCATTTGTATGTTTGGCATCCTGCAAGACATTTAAAGGCACAGTCAGCAAGATTTCCTACTTGGCCTTATTATGTCATCATTGCTAACTCTGACTTAGAGTGAAGAGAAGGACTGAGTGCTGGAAATGGGTAAAGTTATTACTGATTCAGGTGTCATCGTTTTTTCTTAGATGCGAAGCACCTCCTGGAGCCAATCAGTAATTCACACACATATTCACTTATTCACGCTCAGCAGACAGAATTAAGGGGAAGCTGTCCACTTCATCAAATGCCAATCTGCACCACCAATTAGGACCTGCAGATGTCTATTCTGCTTTCTTTCCTACAGGAAGGAAATAGCTGCTGCAGTTTTAACACTTGCGCCACGATACATATTGCACTTGCAGATTTTTATAGGTACAATAACAATTACTGATATGTAAATGAGTAAGTAACAACAAAGGTTATAATTCAAGTATTCAGAGCAAAGATGGACCAGGCAGTTAATCATTGCTATTTTTTATATGACCTTTCTTTCATATCTCTTTTATTTTACAACAAATCTGTGAGGTTTGGCAAAAGTATCTTTTTTTTTTTTTTTTTTGGTACTACCACAAGGAGTCGTTAAGACATACAGACATACATTTTAAAATCCTACACACAAGGGCTCATACATTAAAACATAAATTCTCAAACAGCAGCTATAAAAGTGACAGCAACTGCAGATGGTGTAACTGTCAAAGTACAGAAGCTATTCCTTTCCTTGCCTGTAGAAGGTGAGATCTGCATGCTTACGTGTATAGTAGCAGCATGTTGCATTGGAATTGCAGGTGTTAAACTGCTGGTGCTGCAGCTATGCAGTTTGATGCTGTTGGCTGAGCCTGGTTTTAGGTGCTTCGCATCCATGACACTGTGTGTCCTTGTTAAGTGAAAAATGCAATAGGAGATATTGCAGAATGTGCCTTTAAATATCTCTACTGTAAACTGAGATAAATCAGAGTCCCATTGTGTGTGAATTTGAGCAGTATAAACAATGATGGTTAAGACAGATGATACTGGGGGACAGTGACTATATATTTTTCCTCTAAAGTGTTTTTGTCATTTTAGGTTCTGTCTGGCTTTACAAAGCATTATTAGCTTACAGACTAAAAAAATCTGTCTCTATACATATTGTACAGAAATTCATCAGCGTATGTCGAGATGTTTTCTTTTTCTAAATCTTCTATTTTGGCTCGGTTCGGTCATCTCCTGCAGCAGAACATGCAACAACTGTATTTTTTCAGAGCTTGGCCGACAACACCAAGGCTTACTTTTTGTTTCTTGCAGTGATGAAGCAAATAAGCAAAAAAGATTCAACTGTTCATAAAACATTTCAGTGAAAAAAAACAATGCCATCTGGAGACAGTATGAACCATATATCTACATCAGTGTTGCATATCTTTATCAGTTAATCTGTTGACTGACTGTTTCATACCATTTTACCAGGAATGCACCGGACATTTCTAGACGTGAAAAGTGTCATGTTTTTTTTTAATGCTTTCAATACAAACGTTGGTAAGTTTATATTAGGGTTATCTACACTTGTAGAACATGCAGATATTTCCTATTTCAGATGGCATTTTGTAGTATGAATTCATATCAAGCCCATTAACATCTATCATCATTTTTTTTTTTGAGAGGGTATTCATTACAGTGATTACAGCCAAAAAACATCTGTAGCAAAAGTGTTCATATAAGCAGTACACAAAACATTCTCAAGGCTATTATGAGCTCTATAAAACAGATGCCCCGACTAAAAGGTTTTTCTTTAAAGTAATGTATGTTACATATAAAAAGTTAAAGGCACGGCAAATAGATTGTTTACTAGCTCCAGGAGTATATTTACAACGTGGCACTAACACTGTTTCCAGTGTATTTCAGTGTACTCTAATGCACTAAAAACAGATTACAAGCCTATGATTAACACAGATTATCTTATTTATTGCAGCATAACCATAAGGTATATATCAGAAAATTACATCAGAGTAACTTGACGTCACCTTTACAGAAACCCTATAAAGAACTCAACCCCATAATTGTTTGCACTCTTGTATATCGATGCTCTGGTGACAATAAGCATACACTTGCTCAGTGCTTATAATGTGTTTATGATCCCGTATAAGGCCTTTTATTAGCCAAATGTCGGCAGTTGGACCATCTTTAACCAATCAGATTTCTTGGTCCAACCTTCCTCATGTCTGTAAAGGATAATTGGAATTCCTTAGCTGTAAACTGTACTACTTCAACAAATTTAGGTTATTGAAGTCACCCTAATAATTGACCTAAATATTACTTTTGAAATATCCTGAATGCCCTCTTTTGTATTAAGGTTTCAGTAGGAATGGGTTGCCATCCCCTGGCCCTATTTCCTTTTTTGACTTGTGTATGAGTTCATAACGGAGTCCTTCTTGAATGATTTTGATCAACTTACCGCTTATCAAACTTAATGGACTTATTTCTGTAAATAAACCTCTTGCTTTTATTTACATTTACGGCAGCTGAACAGTTTTAAGTGTATGCTTAATCCGCCCATGCTAATAGCTGGTTTTGCAGCTTGGATCTGTTGTTATGATCTTTATTTGAAATGTTGTGTTCTAGTTGAGTACAGAAGTTTTATGTTGAGTATAAAACCCCTTTTAAAATGTAAATTTGTTCCCGTTTTTGTTAACTTCTCGTTTTAGTTTTTTCAAGCTGTCCTCCTTTGATTCTGTTTTCAAGGCAGTACCTAAATGTGTCCAAGTAGGGAAAAAAATAATGATCTTTTGTGATTATTTGTTGCTGATGGCTAATTTTTAAACATTTTATTAATAAAATGTGGTTGAAATTTAGCTTTCAAAAATGTAATTTGCAACAAATACTGTAGTTTGACTGCTCGTTACAGTGCTACTAGCATGGTGAAACCTTGAGTTTAGAACAGCATTGTTAAGTATTAAAGTTCTGGATTTTGAGCGGCAGTAAATAATTGACTATCAGACTATCAGACTAAAGTAGTTCTGATATTTTTTTCTTTAATCTTGCCTTGTATATATGACCTGAAATACCTACTGTGAAACATCAGTATGTTGTGATAGGCATCTTTAATTTGAACTGACAAGAATCAAGGCTCATACATAGTTGCTGCATACGTCAGTGCCAGTTAAATTGTAACACACTGTACTCATGTGAAATCTGAATGTGTATGAATAGATGGTGGCTGTGCATTTTGTCCTTTTAGTCAAACTTTATTGATTAGTTCATGCATGACTGCTGATAGTGGATATTCCTTTTTTCATGGTTTGTTGAGATGAACATGTCCATCCTTTTTATTTCCTACCTGTAATATTTACCTGAATAAAGTGAATCCCAGCTGGTTTTGAGTCTCACATTTTGAAGTTTTCACCTGTAAACCAGGACAACATATCGGGGTATTTTTACTCTACTTGAGTCACATCTTTTCATGCCACTGCCTACTTCTACTCCACTACATGTCGGAGGAAAATATTTACTTTTTATTTGTCTTATTAGAAAGCTTTTATTAATAGTTACTTTATAAATTATGAAGTTTGTATATAGAAAATGAGTGTTGGGAAACACCAGAGGCCCCATAATACTGTATTGCCATATTGCGATCTTACCTTTTTTCAACTGAAAACGGCGTTCCCTAAGCTGTTGACATCTGTTTTATCTAACAAGATTTTCATTTTGTTCATCACTAATTGTTTGTATTGCCATAAAATGGCTCTGTCAAGCAGACACTGACACTGTCATAAATAACTCTCATAAATGTTGCATCCAGCTGACACCATCTAGTGGACCTAAAAATCTGTTGGTTTTATTATTCTAATGCCAACCGTGTTTAAACTCATGTCAGTGATGCTTGGCATCCACATATTGACACAATATTGCCACGCAAAACATCGCAATATGTACTGTATCTATTTTTTTCTTTCACCCCTACAAAACATAGTTTATAAAATATGTGGCTTTCTTGTAAATTCAACTACCAACCAGTATAAGAACAGCTGCAACAATTAATTGACCTATTAATTAATTGAACTATTTTGATAATCATTAAAATACAATCATTTTTCATGCAAAAACATTTCACAGTTCCAGCTTCTCAGGTGTGAAGATTTGCTGATTTTCCTTATTTTTTCATAATTTGAATTTTGTATTATTGATTGGACAAAGCAAGCACTGTGAAGGTTCCACTTCATCATCAGTCACAAGGGTCTTTTTTCTACACTTCTTCATTTGGTGTCTACCAAATGAAGGAGTGCTCCCAACTCCCAGAATGTCTTCACTTTTGTGATCTGTCAGCACAGTTCACTGTACACTTTTTAGCCATTGTTGAATGTGAGGAGATTTTGAAACTTAGAGCTCGTTTAACTTGTTCATTTAACATGATAGCAGCACAGAATCTGTTATGATTTTGTTCACAGCATTATCAGATAACCTCTGGCTATTGAAGAAGTCCGTAATCCTCATAATCCAAATCCCAATAACCTTTTTCCTCCTGAAAAGATAGGTTTCACATTCTTGAAGTCTTAAAACAGTACTTGCAATCCTATATGTACATTGAACGCATTATTGGTCACAGTCACTGTTCTCCTGTCTACTTGCTGTGAAGACATTCCTTTGTTATGCAATTTCTACGTAAGTGATGGTGGATGAAGTCCACAATCTCTGTTCTGTGCAAAATGAATTTTAATGCTTAGTTAAAGATGATACGAGGCTTCAGCTGTCTAAAGTTAGACAAATCAAGTGTCTATTTTCCAAAGTTACACTGTTTTTATTAACAAATTCTCTTTTTGTGTTTCCACAGACAGTAGTCCTTATTAAACACAGATCTTGCAACCAAGCCATTCCAAGTCATTACATCTAGCATTACATGCTACCCCAGTGTGTGATTTTTAGTTTGCATGCAGTTGTTGTGGAAGTAAAAGAGGCGTGACGTGTAACACGCCAGCGTCTGTTGTGACACTGTTTCCATCCTGCCGGCGGTCCGGCTCTGTTACTGCCTCTGCTGCCAGCTTAATGGTGCAACATTCCCGCCTGGAACAGGCTGTGTAAAAGGGGCTAGTGTTTGCTGGCTGAGCTGCGACAGAGGGATAATAACAAAAAGTTTTATCATACAGAAAATACTTTTTTTGCCAAAAACTCATATTACCTATGGCTTTGTTTCCGCACTGAAACAGGACTGTGGGTTTTGTCCTTCATCATGCATTGATATTCCTCTAAGAAGAATCATTAAAGCAACCAGCAGTGCTTTCAGAGTACACATGGGTCTCTGAATATTGCTTTGAGACATGTTTGGGAAAATCGTTTCCTTCCATTCTAATAAGCACCCATCTTTGTTGTCACCACTGGATGGCACTGAAGTTTAGGCCTTTAACTTCAAAGTCAGACTTTCTAATGATATAAATTGATTAAGTTTTTACCTGTAGTGTGAGTCAGGCATTACTTCACTGCCAGCTGAACAGTTTTTGCCCCGTAGCCATGAGGAAGTGAGGCGCACTAGCGGATGCAGCCACGGGATGACGCACAATTTTATGTTCCAAACAAGACGACTGAGAGGCACGTGGAAATCCCCCCTTTGTGGTTGACTTGAATTCCAGTCCAGGGTTTGACTGAACCAGCCTGGAGGTACTGACACACATACACACCAAAATCCCAAACGCGTATATATGTGTGTGTTTGTGTGTGTATATATATAAATGCACTTGTTTTATACAATGTCCTATATATTGGATGTGTCTTCCAATTCATCTTTTCAGGGTTTCTTAATTGAATTGCATTGCTTTCGCACTCTTACAGTAGTTTTATATTCTTTTTCTTAAACAGAAAAAAGGAAAAGAAAACCATATAAAGAAAAACTGTGACATACATACAGAAGTTCTATATCTTGTTTAAAAGTCTTGCTCCATCTGTCAGTGGGCAGCATGAACTTACACAAAATGCAATAAAGGAACAGTTTACACTGGTTTTGATCCTATCTTTAGTACATTATTCAAAACTGTTAAGAGGTGGGTTCATCCAAATTACATAATACACAGACAGTATGTAACTATAGTTGAAAGTATAGTTCCAAAGAAAACATCTATTCCTGTGCATTATCATTATTATCATTTTTAAATGGAGGCAGAAATAAGAGACTGGCATCTCAAAACCAGACAAATAAAACTGTCTGCATGGCCATATACGACAACAGGTAAGTGAAAACACATTTCTTTTGTATTTGGGTGAACTGACCCTTTAATGGTACTCCTTATTCTGTTAGCCTTACTAGACCACACAGGGAAGAGGCAGGTGTGCTGTACATGTGAGACTGCAGGTATCATTACCCTACGTGTGGCAGCCAAACACAACATTAGGCCATTAGGGAAATATCGCCCTTTTCTCTAATCCAGCAGTCACACGATACGGGGAAGGACAGTCATGACAGTCTGTTCTCAGTCATAGGTGCCTCCACTCAGGACGTTCTCTTCAACCTTTGTGTGTGCTTGTGCTTTTAGGAGAACAGGTGTGTTTTGTTTATGAATGTGCTTGTGCCCCCTACGAAGAACGTGTGAGTGAAGCCCAGGATGGCCAGTTTGTGCTGTGTAAAACCAGCTTGTTCAACCATCTGCGTTATTAAAAGCCTATGTGTGTGTGTGTGTATAGGAGGGATGGATTAAATAATCTTTCATCCACAGTGAATCATTTGTACTGTTCGGAGGCATTTTAGCGCAACCAAAACATAATTTGCGTGTGATTTTTTTCACAATTGAATTATAAAAACTTGCAGCTCCAGGGATGTTCTGTTCATTACAACTTTAAAGTTAACTGCAAACCAGACGTGATCACACACAAATAATTATTTTCACAATGCTTTTTAGTGAAATGCAAGTGGAGGAGAGGAGGTACAGTAGATAACATCTAATAGGCTCAGGCTGTTCTTGTACATTCAAACAAACTGTTGTAAAAGCAGGAAAAGCCACTTGAGGAACCTTTTTATAGTTCTCAAAACACTTCCTAGCACTTTTGAAGGAATGCAATACTCATGCACTATAAACCAGCACATCATGTCATACAAGTGACTGATAGTAGTTGTTAATCTGAAAGACTTTTCTGTTTTGTAGATAACTAAAATTAATTTGCACCCTGTTTTACACCATCTGTTTCTCCTCGGCTTTCACTTTCCCTCTTTTTCCAGTCTCTTCTGCACAATAATTGTAGCGGATTTAATTAATGAAAGCAATAACATGTTACAACTTCTACCTGGATTTACGTGGTCAATGAGCCATGACAGAGTTCTTTGCAAAACAATGAATACTTATGCATAAAAATATGCAAATGTAAATCCTGCAAAAAATACTTTTGAGATATGAAATCCCAAAATATAAGGATATATTTAGGAAATATATGATGATATGGGATCCATACTAGGGTTTAACCCATTCTGGTCAAGCTGCAGTAATGATGTTCAAACTCTCTCAGCTTGAAGGTGCAACAGTCTGTCAGTTGACAAATAATTTCAAATTGAAGTTATGATAGCAGTGTTTACCCACCAAAATGCATTGTGTGTCTAATAAACATGCTGAATGCATTTACTTCTTCATAAAACATCTGCCAATAAATTATTAACATCCATGTTTTCTGATTTCTAGTCTTCTTCTGAGCTGCCTTCGTTGGCACATCGCTACATTTCTTTTTATTTTATTGTGGAAATTATACTTTTTTACAAGGAAAAAACATATCAGACACACATTATTGTTCCTAGCTGACTATTTGTATGAATGTCATGATATGTTTCTAGGGGGGATCTTTAAGTTTGTATCCAAGTCAAAGGTCAAAGCCCATTGCGGTTTAGTCATTTATGAAAAGATAAAACATTCGAAAATCTGTTTATATTAGCTTGTAGAGACAAACTCACAAATTAACATTAAAATTCAGACATGTCACCACTTCACCACCACGGCTTGTAGCAACTAGTATCAATTAAGCTACAAATTTCCATTTAATACAATCACTTGTGTGGCTGCCAGGAGTGTTGCTCCACATGCTTTTCTCCAGATGTTTTTAAAGTATCAGTGTATCTTTCTCAAAGACCAGGCACTCTTTTCCATGAATCTGAGGCACAGATTATGCAACCTCATCCTACACTATTCTTTAAACTGCCTTCAGGGTATGCTAACACCAGTGTCAGACTGACTGTATCACTACACTCACAACGTCTCCGCTTGCGTTTTTACAACTCCAGCTTTGATACCTAAAAGAAGTGTTGAATGGCAACTAATCCTACTCTAATTTTTAGGTTTTTTAAAGTAATGTCACCTTTGAGAGTGCTGTTATATATCTATTTTAGTGTGAACTCCAACTTTTTCTTAGGT